AGCTCCATTTGCATTCACGGCCAACACAAGCAGTGGTTATCTGCGCCGGTCCTGGGCTTTCCCCTTGGTCGACTCAGCCTCAAATGAGGACTTGGTTGCAGTGTGTCAAATTCACCACGAGGGAGACAAAGGTGGCCGGGTGTGTGGTGGCCACCCACCGCCCCCCTTGTGTGCCGTTCTGGCCTCCATAGGTGCTCGCTAACAGCACTTGCCCCAACAGTCTGTTAAGGCTACACGGGGGAACTTTGTCTTTGACACGCAAATGGGACCTCGCGAACTGGCGTAACGACGTCTCGCGCGGTGCTGAATAAGGAAGCGACGCACCAACGATAGGAAACCAGATTTTCTGTTCCTAACAAATGTAATAACAATATATAAACACACACACACACGTCTTGTAGACTTATTCACCCACGAAATAACGTTCTCAAGAGCGGGCCTGCCTCAGCCGCCATACACACTGGGCTTTTATTTTAAGATGTTTTCAGCCAATTAATGAGTTGTTTATTAGACATGCGGAGGGAACCCGGAGCACCCGGAGAAACCCCACAGGTGCGAGCGAGGGGGCAACACTCTATCCCCGTACAGATGGAAATGGATGGCGAATTAGTCCGCTTGCTGCACCGCCTTCTCCTGGCGAGCGAAGGGTATACGCATCTCCTCGACGTCCACGGGACGGGAGTTTCACAACATGATCCGCCAACCCTCGGAGCTGCTGCCTCCACGGGGCTGGATTAGAGGCAGCAGTCCACGCGCAGCGGCGTAGCAATCACTGTCCCGGCAGCAAGAGTTGCTTGCAACCTCGGAGATGCAACGAGATCCCAGGAAGAGACACTCGGAGAGATATCCCAGTGCCGACAAGTTGCGTGCAAATGATTCAAGTTGCAAGCAACTTGCCTGAAAATGACTCAATTGGGATCACACGGCAGCGGCAACAGCAGCAGCAACAGCAGCAGCAGCAGTAACAGCAGCAGCAGCAACAGCAGCAGCAGCAACAGCAGCAGTAACAGCAGCAGCAGCAACATCGCCCCCCCCCTCCCACTACTGTGAAAACTCGGCAGGACCCTCCGGACAAGGAGTCTTGAGACTCCATAGCTGTCAGCCCATACGGTTTCGCCGTATTCTTGTACAGGGAAATTGAGTTTCCAGGTCCATACGGCGCACAGCCGTTTCAATGCGGGCAACATAAATGTGTCTCTTTGTTTGTGTTTCTCCCTTGTGATGGGACTTTGTGGGATGAACATTGAGATTTGTAAGGGCACGGGTTGACCAATAATGTCTGAATTGGTCTGTAATAAGGCAGGGCACTGATAAGGGGTTGACAGGTATGAGACTCGGTGAGGCTTTCCCTGGGTAAACTCGCGGATTTATAATATTGTTTTAATTATCGATGTTTATCGTCGTTCTTGTTGTTATTATGATGATGATGTAACCGGGACGTGCAAAGTCACGGAAGGACCAACAGATTTTCGAGGACGATTCCGTGGAAACAAGGGACAGGTGGCAACATGAGCCAAGGGGTCACGTTAAGATCACGCGCGGTGGCTGAATATACACACGGCATTGAACGAGGCGATTCACATCGGCATTGTTGTTTTGAAGACTGCCATTCACGCTGACATTATTGTTATGACCAATGTGATTCACATTGGCATTATTGTTCTGAACAATACGATTCACACTTTCATTGTTGTTCTGAACAATGTGATTCACATCGGCACTGTTGTGTTTTTACAATGTGATTCATACTGACATTGAAAAAGAGCTGCATAGCTCATTGATTCCTCCAGTCTAAATAAAGATTCGGATTATTGTTGTGAACAACATCATTCACTCTTTCATTGTGGCTCTGAACAAAGAGATTGACTGTTACGACTGTTCTGGACAATTTTACTCAAACTGGCGTTGTTAACAATGTGATTCACACCGGCATTGTTTTATTAACAAAGACTTTACGGTCATGGGTGTTCTGATCAATGTGATTTCACACTGGCATTGTTTTTCTTAACAAAATAATTTACTGACATTTTGTTCTAAAGAATGTGATTCAAACTAGTTATTGTTATTAACAAAGCGATTCACTGTCATTGTTTCAAACAATGCAATTCGCATTGGCATTATTGTTCTGAACAAAGTGCTTCCCACCGTCACTGTGTTCTGCACAGTGCTTCCCCTGTGATATTCTTGTTGTTCGGAACAATGAACAAATTGAATAATTCACACAGTCATGATGTTCTGAACAATTTCATTTGCACACACAAACTTCTCACACACCAGATTCACACACACACACACACCCCACTCACCACACAAACTGCTCACACCCACCACACTCACAAACCAAACACACTCCTCACACACACCATTAACACACACAGCCATGCCAACTCACACTCGACCCACGTACACCCACTCACCCATAACGCACTCTCCCACACAACACCCACTCACCCTACTCGACTCACTCCACTCATGCCCACCCAATCACCATTACACACACACACCGGTCCTTACCAGCTCACACACGGGTTCCCATCAGCGTGGCCCTCTGCTCTTCGTCCTCGCCTACTGTGGCAGTCCGGGGACTCCGGTACCGGTCCAAGACCCCCGACAATCTGGTGGGACCGCGAACACCGCAGTCCCCACGTCCGCTCAGGAGGATTTCCTCCCGCAATTGAGCCCGGCTTGGGTCCCACGCGGTGGCGACCCCCGACGGGCCATACCAAGTGTCCCGCTCACGCGAGGGGGGTGGGAGGGGGAGATTGTTTCTACCGGACCCGGTTTAAAATCCCCCAGGTTCAATACAGTTCCCGATAATTTCTATATAATTAATCGATATTATATATTGGTTTTAATCACGTGAATTAATGCTGTGTTAAATTAATTTTAGTTCGGAAAAGAAAGTTGTTGAAATGGGTGCAAGATCCGGGTTGTTAATCATTAACTTCCTACTCCGAGATCCCTCCTGCCTCTCCCCTCTTCCGTGGTGTGTAGTGGTATAGGCCATGTAAATTGCTCTTAAGCCATTTCCATTGACTTCAATTGACATCCATGAGCAGAACTTTGTCTTCTGTCCAGAATCTGTATTTAGACTGCAGGAGGAATCCCATGAGCTATGAAGTATTATGGGCCGTCCATAAATGACGTCACGCGATTTTGGACGATTTTTGACCCCCTCCCCCTCGTCACACGGCGTCACAAAAAGTCAGACCCCCCCCCCCTCCTCAAATATGACGCCACAAAGCTCTGCCCCCCCCCCCAATAAAACATGCTTCAAATCGCTTTAAACTATTGTCATTGTAGTGCGTATTTGATGTGGCGCTGCACTCTGATGTTGTAGGAGAAAACATTTATAAAAAGTCAGTTTAATTAAGTAGAACGTGTTGTCTATATTTATTTAAAGTTGCGCGTTTTCTCACCCCCCCCCCCCCCCCCCCCTCGTCACACATCTTCACAAATGTCTTACCCCCCAACCCCCCCCCCCCCCCTAAGTGCGTGACATCATTATTTGGACGGCCCCTTGTACCCAACGTTGGTTCAGCGTTGGCCCAACGTTGCATTGTGATTCGAAACGTTGGCCCAAAGATGCCCCCACGTCCCATGTACGCTGGGCGTCAGGCTTGTATCAACTGGTCCTGGATCACCAGACGTTCATGCAAGAGCAAACTACAAACTCGGGATCGTGAGTTCGATTCTTGGCCACGGCTACCATCAGTGGGTGTGAGACCTGAGCCTTTCCAACTCCATCAACCCGCACTGAACCAGCGTGGTGAAGTATGGTCAAACACCCCCCCCCCCCTGCACTCTATCGGGTCTCTCGTGCCCCCTGGTCTCTCTGGGCAGTGGTCTCACTCACAAGTTCCGAACTCTCCTCACATTATGAGACGTTCGGAAAGTAAGACGCACCCAAGACGCTGTGCACGGGGTCAATAGAACCACACGGACGGAGGTGCTCACACGCACACAAACCGGATTGTAAGACGCACCCCAACGTTCGCTCACAAAATACGGCAATACACAAATGTACACACACACACACGTACACACGTGTGTGTGTGTGTACGTGTGTGTGTATATATATGTGTGTGTGTGTACGTGTACATGTGTGTGTACATGTGTGTGCTGGGGTCTCCTCGTGTCTCCGTGTCTCATTCCATGTCTCCCCCGCCCCCCACCCAAGCCGCCCCCCGTGTCTCACTCACTCACTCAGTGACTCTCAGTCTCTCTCCGACTCCCCGCGTCGCCCCCCCCCTTGACCCCCCCTCGTCCCCCCCCCCTTGTCCCCCCCATGTCCCCCCCTTGCCCCCACCTTGTCTCCCTTTGCCCCCCCCCTTGCCCCCACCATGCCCCCCCCTTGCCCCCACCTTGTCTCCCCCCTTGCCCCCCCTTGTCTCCCCTTGTCCCCCCCCTCTTGCCCCCCCTTGTCCCCCCATCTTGTCTCCCCCCCCCTTGCCCCCCCCGTGCCCCCCTCTTGTCCCCCCCCCTTGTTTACCCTTGTCCTCCCCCCTCTTGCCCCCCCTTGTCTCCCCCCCCCTTGCCCCCCCCCTTGCCCCCCCTTGCCCCCCCCGTGCCCCCCCCGTGCCCCCCTCTTGTCCCCCCCCCTTGTCTCCCCTTGTCCCCCCCCCCCCCCCACCGTGTCTCCGCCTTGTCTCCCCGTGTCTCTCCACGTGGTGGCGATGTCGCCCCGCGTTTGGGATGAACGGAACTGGCGAAAGAGCGAAAGAGAAAGAGGGCGTGGGGAGAGGGGGGAGAGAGAGAGAGGGGGAGTTTAAGAGGGAGAGAGCGTGGGGAGAGCGAGAGGGGAGAGCATAAGAGGGAGAAGGGGGGGGGGTATAAGAGAGAGAATGGATACTGAAGAGGGGAGGGGAGAGAGAGAGAGACAATAAGGGGAAGTGAAGGCGGGAGAGGGAGAGTGGAGAGGGAGATTGGGGAGCTACGGGGAGGGGGGGGAGTTCGGAGAGGCAGAGAGAGACGAAGGGGAGGCGAGGGGGTCGAGGAAGGGAGAGTGAAGGGGGAGAGTGAAGGGGGAGAGAGTGAAGGGAGAGGCAGAGAGTGGAGGGAGAGTGGAGGGGAGAGAGACAAGGGAGAGAGACACACTGCACGGAGCCGCGCCCGGATCAATTGCCTCCTCGGTGGGTACGAGACATCACACAACCACCACCATTGTAAGCTCATCACTATTGTTGTTACCATCAGCGACATATCATGATCATAATTAGTTCCCATCAACATCATCGCCAGCGTCTCGTTATCAGCAGCAACAGCAGGAGACCATTAGTAGCATCGCTGCAGCAGCAGCAACAGCATCATCATAACCATCATAACCATCACAACCATCATAACCATCACAACCATCATCATAACCATCACAACCATCACAACATCATCATAACCATCATCATAACATCACAAACCATCATCATAACCATCACAACCATCATCATAACCATCACAACCATCATCATAACCATCACAACCATCATCATAACCATCACAACCATCATCATAACCATCACAACCATCATCATAACCATCACAACCATCATCATAACCATCATCAGAACCATCACAACCATCATCATAACCATCATCATAACCATCACAACCATCATCATAACCATCACAACCATCATCATAACCATCACAACCATCATCATAACCATCACAACCATCATCATAACCATCAGCAGCATCATCATAAAGGGCAACATCAGTAAGGGCAGCTGCGTGCGGGTGATTGTGCATCAGCCGTCACAGCCTGAGATCAATCACAATTCATCATCAACAATAATCGCGAGAATGATGGTCGTGTTGCTACAGTATATATGTAGACTGTATTGACATGGCACACTGTATGTCATGCCATTATCACCATTCATCACCACCAACACCAACCACCCACATCCCCATCATCACCACCATCACACCTCCACCCTCCCATCATCATCGTCGTCATCACAGCTCCCTCCATCATAATCAATAGCCCCATCATCATCACCACCTTCATCACTCTCACCCTCATCATCATCACTGCTATGACAATCGTGGCAATATCAATTACCATCATTATCACACCACCCCCATCACCATCATCCCATCCCCATTATTACCCCATCTTAAAAATTATCCCGCATGACCATTATCACCATCACCACCATCATAACACCACCATCATCACCACCATCACGCCTGCCGCATCACCACAATGACTATCACACCACGCCCATCATCACATCACCATTATCACACCCGCATCACCCTATCACCATCACCACACCCCCATCACCATCATCACACAATCATCACCATCATCACCACCATCACACCCCATCATCACCATAATCACACCCCCATCATCCCATCAACACCATCATCACACCCCCGTCACCCCCATCATCACACCCCCATCATCACATTCCCATCATCCCCATCACACCCCCACCATCATCCCCCCCCCCCCATCACACACCTCCCCATCACCACCCCCATCATCACATCCCCATCACACCACCATCACACCCCCATCACCACCCCCATCACACCCCCATCACCACCCCCATCACACCACCATCACACCCCCATCACCACCCCCATCACACACCCATCACGCCGCCGTGGCCACGGGTGGCGATGAGCGCCGTGGGTGAGGAATGCGGAAGGCCCCATTGTGAGAGGCGAGGGCGGGGACACGAGTCGTCCCCACTGCGCTGCTGCTGCTGCTGCGTCTCACGACTCAACACCATCACCACCATCATCATTACCACCACTCCTCAACAACACCAACACCACCACCATCATTACCACCACTCCTCAACACCACCAACACCACCACCATCATTACCACCACTCCTCAACAACGCCACCACTAACCACCACTCCTCAACAACACCATCACCACCATCATCATCACCACTAACCATCACCACTCACTCCTAACCACCACTCCTCAACACCAACAGCCTCATCTTCATTACCACCATCATTATTACCACTCATTACCACCACTCCTCAACACCACCAACACCACCACCAACACCACCACCATCATTACCACCACTCCTCAACAACCCCACCACTAACCACCACCACTCACCACTCACCACCACCACCACTCACCACCACCACTCCTCACCACCACCACTCACCACCACCACTCACCACCACCACCACTCACCACCACCACTCCTCACCACCACCATCACCACCCGCTTGGTTCCCTGCGGGATTCGCTCGGGGGACTCTTCTCGTCGGGACGCCGCCACCACCCCCCCCCTGGTTGGTGCCGGGACCCCCCTGGGGGTCTCATGGACCCCCGGGGTGGGACCCCCACGGGGGTGTGGGGGGGGGGCCCCACGAGGTGTGGGGGGGCCCCCGAGGGGGGGTGTGGGGGGGGGGACCCCCACGGGGGTGTGGGGGGTGTTCAGTGCCACGGGGTTCGGCTCCGGGTTTCGCAATGGGCGGCCCCGCGTTGAACGCGGCCTTGAGACTTGTGTTGTGTTAGTGCTACACTAGTGTCATGTGTGTGTTACACTAGTGTCATGTGTGTGTTACACTAGTGTCATGTGTGTGTTACACTAGTGTCATGTGTGTGTTACACTAGTGTCATGTGTGTGCTACACTAGTGTCATGTGTGTTAGTGCTACACTAGTGTCATGTGTGTGTTACACTAGTGTCATGTGTGTGTTACACTAGTGTTATGTGTGTGTTGCACTAGTGTGTGTTAGTGTTACACTAGTGTCATGTGTGTGTTACACTAGTGTCATGTGTGTGTTACACTAGTGTGTGTTAGTGCTACACTAGTGTCATGTGTGTGTTACACTAGTGTGTGTTAGTGCTACACTAGTGTCATGTGTGTGTTACACTAGTGTGTGTTAGTGCTACACTAGTGTCATGTGTGTGTTACACTAGTGTGTGTTAGTGCTACACTAGTGTCATGTGTGTGTTACACTAGTGTCATGTGTGTGTTACACTAGTGTCATGTGTGTGTTACACTAGTGTGTGTTAGTGCTACACTAGTGTCATGTGTGTGTTACACTAGTGTCATGTGTGTGTTACACTAGTGTCATGTGTGTGTTACACTAGTGTCATGTGTGTGTTACACTAGTGTCATGTGTGTGTTACACTAGTGTGTGTTAGTGCTACACTAGTGTCGTGTGTGTGTGTGTTAGTGCTACACTAGTGTCATGTGTGTTTCACGAGTGTGTGTTAGTGCTACACTAGTGTGTGTGTGTGCTCTGTGTTAGTATGTTGTGTTTGTCACAGTTGAGAGCGTGTTAGTATGTTGCGTTTATTACAGAAGTGTGTGTGTGTTAGTATGTTGTGTGTATTACAGTAGTGTGTGTATGTATGTGCTGTTAGTGCCTGCTACATTAGTGTCGTGTTAGTATGTTGTGTTTATTACAGAAGTGTGTGTGTGTTAGTATGTTGTGTGTATTACAGTAGTGTGTGTATGTATGTGTTGTTAGTGCCTGCTACATTAGTGTCGTGTTAGTATGTTGCGTTTATTACAGAAGTGTGTGTGTGTTAGTATGTTGTGTGTATTACAGTAGTGTGTGTATGTATGTGTTGTTAGTGCCTGCTACATTAGTGTCGTGTTAGTATATTGTGTTTATTACAGTAGAGTGTGCACGGGGCGTGTGTGAGTGTCGCGCGTGTTGGTACAGTGTGTTGGTACAGTGGTTCAGTGTGTTAGTGTAGTGTGTTGGTACAGTGTGTTGGTACTGTGTAGTGTGTTAGTACTGTGTAGTGTGTTAGTACTGTATAGTGACTATACAGTACTAACACACTACACAGTACTAACACACTGTACTAACACACTGCACCAACACACTGCACCAACACACTGCACCAACACACTGCACCAACACACTGCACTAACACTACACAGCACTAACACACTACACTAACACACTACACAGTATAGTGTGTTAGTGTAGTGTGTTAGTGCTGTGTAGTGTGTTAGTACTGTATAGTGTGTTAGTACTGTGTAGTGTGTTAGTGCTGTGTAGTGTGCTAGTACTGTGTAGTGTGCTAGTGTAGTGTGTTAGTACTGTGTAGTGTGTTAGTACTGTGTAGTGTGTTAGTACTGTATAGTGTGTTAGTACTGTGTAGTGTGTTAGTGCTGTGTAGTGTGTTAGTGCTGTGTAGTGTGTTAGTACTGTGTAGTGTGCTAGTACTGTGTAGTGTGTTAGTGCTGTGTAGTGTGCTAGTACTGTGTAGTGTGTTAGTGTAGTGTGTTAGTGCTGTGTAGTGTGTTAGTGTAGTGTGTTAGTGTAGTGTGTTAGTGCTGTATAGTGTGTTAGTGCTGTATAGTGTGTTAGTATTGTGTAGTGTGTTAGTACTGTATAGTGTGTTAGTATTGTGTAGTGTGTTAGTACTGTATAGTGTGTTAGTGTAGTGTGTTAGTACTGTGTAATGTGTTAGTGTAGTGTGTTAGTGCTGTGTTAGTGCTGTGTAGTGTGTTAGTACTGTGTAGTGTGTTAGTTTAGTGTGTTAGTACTGTGTAATGTGTTAGTGTAGTGTGTTAGTGCTGTGTTAGTGCTGTGTTAGTACTGTGTAGTGTGTTAGTGTAGTGTGTTAGTACTGTATAGTGTGTTAGTGTAGTGTGTTAGTGTGGTGTGTTAGTTTAGTGTCAGACGATGTCCCGGGGCCTAATTCCCCTTTGAAGTTCAACACAAAGAGTGGAGTGGTCTCCACAGACACGGCACTCCATTGTGTGTACGGCGTGTGGTGTGTGTGTGTGTTGTGCTGTGTGTGTGTTGTGGTGTGTGTGGTGTGTGTGTGTGTTGTGGTGTGTGTACAGCGTGTGGTGTGTGTGTGTGTTGTGGTGTGTGTTGTGCTGTGTGTGTGTTGTGGTGTGTGTGTGGTGTGTGTGTGGTGTGTGTTGTGCTGTGTGTGTGTTGTGCTGTGTGTGTGTTGTGGTGTGTGTTGTGGTGTGTGTACAGCGTGTGGTGTGTGTGTGTGTGTTGTGGTGTGTGTACAGCGTGTGGTGTGTGTTGTGGTGTGTGTTGTGGTGTGTGTGTGGTGTGTGTGTGTGTGGTGTGTGTGTGTGTGTTGTGGTGTGTGTACAGCGTGTGGTGTGTGTGTGTTGTGGTGTGTGTGTGTTGTGGTGTGTGTTGTGGTGTGTGTGTGTTGTGGTGTGTGTGTGGTGTGTGTGTGTGTGTGTTGTGGTGTGTGTACAGCGTGTGGTGTGTGTGTGTGTTGTGCTGTGTGTGTGTTGTGTGTGTGTGGTGTGTGTGTGTGTGGTGTGTGTGTGTGTTGTGGTGTGTGTACAGCGTGTGGTGTGTGTGTGTGTTGTGGTGTGTGTGTGTTGTGGTGTGTGTTGTGCTGTGGTGTGTGTGTGTTGTGCTGTGCTGTGTGTGTGTTGTGCTGTGCTGTGTGTTGTGTGGTGTGTGTGTGTGGTGTATGTGTGTGTTGTGGTGTGTGTGTGTTGTGGTGTGTGTGTGTTGTGGTGTGTGTGTGTTGTGCTGTGGTGTGTGCTGTGGTGTGTTGTGTGTGTGGGTTGTGCTGTGGTGTGTGCTGTGTTGTGGTGTGTGTGGTGTGTGTTGTGGTGTGTATGTGGTGTGTGCTGTGTTGTGGTGTGTGTGTGGTGTGTGTGTGTTGTGGTGTGTGTGTGTTGTGGTGTGTGTGTTGTGGTGTGTGTGGGGGGGGATAGAGCGTTGCACCCTCGCGCACGTGTGGGTCTCCTCCAGTGGCTCCGGTTTCTCTCCCACGTGTAATAATAATAAACACGAGTCGTCGTCGATTGGCTGAACACGTCTTAAAATAAAGAAAACCAATGCAGCAGGACCTCCTGATGGACAAATAAGCAATTTATAAAATAAGCGTGTGTGTGGCCTGTTAACAGCCCCACGCGTGCACACGCCCTGCGTTGAGCCATATAAGCTACTTGCACAAGGCCTGTCTGTGTGTTTTAACTTGCCCCAACAGCCTGTTAAGGCTATACGGGGGATCTTTGTCTTTTGGATGAAAGTGTGTGTGTGTGTGTGTATTTACAGTGTGAGAGGTTGTGCAATTACAACTGTGTGAATTTATTATGATGAATAATGAGTTGTGTTTGAGTCGAGAAGTGGGACACGGGTGCGTGAAACGCCTTTGATACAAATGCCAGGGCAATGGTGCATGTGTCAGGGTATTGATACATGTTCTAGACCACTTTTAGAAGTGCAAATCCATTGGTACACATGCCAGGCAATTGGTGTATTTAACAGGGCATTGCTACACTCCCAGGACATTACATCCATGCCCCTTGTGCATTCTGGACACCACTGCCCCCAGGCAGCACGGAGGAGAAAATCCGACGTGGGAAGCGAGGCCTCTGGACGGGAAATTAACCGGATGGGAGGAACAGGGATCACGGGGGTGAGGGGGCGGTCGAGGGGGGAGACTGGAAGGGAGGAAACAGCGAGGTCCATCGATGGGAGCTGAGTTGTCCCTGGGAACTGAGTCTCTGGAAGTTGAGTTGAGACCCTCCTCGATGTGAAGTTTATTTGAGATCAAAGGAGTTGAGACCCTGGGAGTTGAGTTGCCTTAGCCGTGTGATTGGCTGCAGGGAGCCGGGCCGCAGCGCGTGGCTGCATGGATCTCGAGTGAATTGGCGATGCCCATGGGGTGGAACGCTGTTCGCTCTGCTCGAGGGAGAGCGTGGCAGAGCTACAGAGGAACGGACCGAGAAAGTGAGAGAGCGAGAGATGGTGCTCCTCGTCAATACTGTAATGCGAGCACCCACGTGTGATGAGATGTGATGAGATGTGATGAGATGTGATGAGGTGTGACCTTGCTCAGCCAGGTCAGGTCGTGTAGCGGAGAGGATGAGGGTTCTGTATTGGACAAGATGAGGGTTCTGTATGAGATGAGACGGGGGTTTTGTTTCGGATGGGATGAGGGTTGTGTATCGGATAGGACAAGGGTTCTGTCTCGTTTGAGACGAGGGTTCTGCATCGGATCGGACTGGAGGGCGCCTCTGTGCGGTGGCGAGCTGCGTGGCACTGCGCCCAAAACTTTGTGTTCACACGTCCCCCCCTCCCCACCCCTCCCCAGGACGGGGCTGTTAATGAGAAACAGGCCTCAAGCCGTGGGCCGGGTTGAGCCCTCGACGCAGCCGAGCCTGGGATGTTGCCCCCCACTCCCCCTCCCAGCCCCCCCCCCCCCAGCAGTGTCAGCCCACTGCTGGATAAGTGTGGCTCGTTGGGGGTTTCCCGTCTTCGAGAGGCAGCGTGTCGGGGGGAGGGCGGCCACCGCCGTTGTGAAGGGGACCCCGAGTGATGGAGCGCCGAGAAGCTGACGCGTCACAGCCTCTGCCTCGGTGCATCGGGTTAACCAACTTGGCGCGCCGGCTCTTACCTACCACGACGTCACCGCCGCCCGGTGATCCGTCACCTCGTCATCACTGTGCATCTACTAAAGTGACCCCCACGTGCCGCCCTCCCATCTTCACCCGCAGGTTGACAGGATGGCTACTCGCAGGACGGTGCCGGGCCGAGGCCAGGATGTGGACGCGGAGTCGATGCTCAGCGGACTCTCGGCGGACGAGCTCAAGCAGCTAGCGGAGGATCTGCAGGACATGGACCCGGACGTGAGACGCCGGGGAGAGACGCCGGGGACCCAGACATGAGACACGGGGAGAGAGGCACGGGGAGAGAGGATCTGCAGGACATAGATCCGCATTAAAGTAGTTAAAGATCTCCTGACTTAAATTGAAATGGCTACGCCATTGTGTGCTGGCATCATGATCCAAATTTGCCAAGAAAAATAATCAACCACAGCAGCTATGATCGCCCCCTATTGGCTGACTAATGCCGCTTGCAGGCCAGGTGCTGAGTCACATAGTGCAGCACAGGGACATCTGCCACTGGGGGTGCTCCTTGGAAATGCATTGAGATGAGATGCCAGTCGCTTGTCGCGTGTGAAGCGTTCTCAGAGACGCCACCGACATGGAGGAGGGTGGCTCCGTCTAACACTGCTACTCGGTCTCATCGTTATTACCCATAAACCCCACCAACAATCGGAGGACGGAACATTTGCTTGTTACCTCCCTCTCTTGCCTCGTCCTCCCTCTCGTCTCCATCGCCTTCCTCTCCTTCATCTCCTCCCTCTCCTTCATCTCCTTCCTTTTCTCCCTCTCCTCCCTCTTCTAGAAACGTGCATTTAGACTATTCGGCTGCTCTCCATTTCCACATGATAAGCCACTTCATTGAGCTATTATTTGTGGCCAGGTCACTTTTGACAAATAAATATGTAGCTCAGTGGGCATTACCTGGTAGAAGAAAATAAAAATAGTTTCTAGTTTTCTCCTCCCTCGCATTCCTCTCCTCTCCCTCTGTCCATCTCCTCTTCCTTTCCTCCCTCCCCTCCCTCACCTCCTCCTCCCTCTCCTTTCCTCCCTCCCCACAGAACGCGCTGCTCCCCGCCGCGTTCCGACAGAAGGACCAGACAACAAAGGCACCGGCGGCGCCGTTCAACCGCGAGGAGCTCCTGCGCTTCCTGGAGACGCAAGCGCGGGAGCACCGTGACCGCGAGGACCTCGTGCCCTTCACCGGCGAGAAGAAGGGTGAGGGGAGGAGGGGGAGAGCTGGGAGAGGAGGAGGAGGGGAGAGGGAGTGGAGGAGGGGGAGGGGAGGGGAGGGCCTGGGCTTAATTATAATGACCATCACAACCAAGTGGTGTCACTGCATGCAAACTTAATGATGTGGTTGCAAGATAATTACGAAAGATGGAGTCGCTATCCCCTATGCCTGTCGGGATGGGCACGGGGGGAGGCGAGAGGGCGTCCCCGTGAGTTACGGTTACGATCGCGGGAGGCTGGGGCTGCTCAGAGGCGATGATTCTCGCTCGGTGATAAATCGTGGAGCCGGGAGCAGCGACGCGGAACGTAGAGCGCGTGCCGACCATGCCGTGCGTGTCTGTGTCGGTGCGTGCATGCGTGTGCGTCGACTTGTGCACACGTGTCTGTGCGTCGACTTGTGCATGCGTGTCTGTGTATCGACACGAATGTGCGTGTCTGTGCGTGGTGGCGGCGGCCGTGTGGAGTACACATCAGCAATGAGGAGACAAAGGCGGCTGGCCGTGGTGCCGTCCACCCATCCCCTCCTTCTGTGCGATGTGCCACGCTGGCCTGGACAGGAGGGTGCTGCTATATTGGGTTTTAATTAGAAGATGTGTTTCGGCTAATTAGTGATGAGTGTTTGTTATTATTATACAAGTGGGAGGAAACCGGAGCACCCGGAGGGAACCCCTCCGTGCGCGAGAGGGCAACGCTCTACCTCCTCCTCCTCCACACAGATGGCGTCAGTCCACGTGCTGTGCCACCTTCTCTGTCGGCGTAATCGGGCGAGAGTGTGTGAGCGCCTCATTTGAGGCCGAGTCGACCTAGGGGAGGGCCCAGGAATGGTGATGCCCCTACACACGGCAGCAGAAACGTCCCCCCCCCCCCCCACCCTGCGTAACCTCGCCAGGAACCCCGTGAAGAATGAGTTGTGAGAGCCTCCAAGGTTTCCCCGGAGTACATAGCCTCGCTCATCACCGCACGGAATGACGGACAGTCGGACAAAGTCCACGTATATCAGTGGGCGAGTATCTGGAGGCACTTTGCACTTTGACCCCTGCCACCCCCCCCCCTTCTCTAATTCCCCCCCACCGCCACCCGGCGCTCACCTGTGCACAGGTAAGGAGTTTGTCCCGAAGGTGAAACCAATGCCGGTGGAGGAGAAAATGGCACTGGACCCCGAGCTGGAGGAGGCTCTGTCCGGAGCTACGGACGTGGAGCTGTGCGACATCGCTGGTCAGCGGCACCCCAACACGTCGCACCATACACGCACACACCCCGACACGTCACACGCACACACCTCGACACGTCACACACACACACCCCGACACGTCACACACACACACACACACCTCGACACGTCACACGCACACACCCCGACACGTCACACACACACACCCCGACACGTCACACGCACACACCCCGACACGTCACACACACACACCCCGACACGTCACACACACCCCGACACGTCACACACACACACACACCTCGACACGTCACACACACACCCCGACACGTCACACGCACACACCCCGACACGTCACACACACACACCCCGACACGTCACACGCACACACCCCGACACGTCTCACACACACACACACACCTTGACACGTCACACGCACACACCACTAACACGTCACACGCATACACCACGACACGTCACACGCACACACCACTAACACATCACACGCACACACCCCAATGTGTCGCACCGCACACACCACGACACGTCACACGCACACAACACGTCACACGCCACACACCCCAATGTGTCGCACCGCACACACCCTGACGACGGCTGTATGTACGCATGCGTGTAAACACACACACACACGTACACACACACAAATACCACGCATGCATTAACCGTGTGTGCACATGACAGCCATTCTGACCCCTACGCTGCCTTGTGCCCCCCCCATGACCCTCGTGTACCTCTGTGACCGAATGACCTAATGACCCCGTGGTGACCCTGTGACCCCTACCTCACCCGCAGCCATCCTGGGCATGCACACCCTGGTGAGCACCCCGCAGTACTACAGCGCCCACAAGGGGACGAGCCACGCGGACGGCATCGGCAGTGAGTTGCATCATCACCCTCATCGTCCTCATCACCCTCATCGCCCTCATCGCCCTCATCGCCCTCATCGCCGTCACGCCGTCACGCCGTCACCATCGTCGCACGGCCTGCACGCAGGGCCGAGTCACATGGTGTCGCACAGGGACCGCTGTCGCTGGGGGTGCTCTCTTAAAATGTGTTGGGATTTAGATGCGAAGCAACTCATTTTGAGCGACTGAGACGTAATTTTTTTTGCATGAATGCAAAAAAAATATTATTTATGTACGCACGTGTTTGTGTGCGCATGCGCACACAAGCGCCTTGGTGGCGATCGGCAGTTGGGTTTGTGTGTTTGTGCGTACACGTGTGTGTGTGTGTGTGCGTACACGTGTGTGTGTGCGTACACGTGTGTGTGTGTGTGCGTACACGTGTGTGTGTGCGTACACGTGTGTGTGTGCGTACACGTGTGGATGTGCGTACACGTGTGCGTGTGTGTGTGCGTACACGTGTGGATGTGCGTACGCGTGTGTGTGTGCGTACGCGTGTGTGTGTGCGTACACGTGTGTGTGTGTGCGTGCGTACGCGTGTGTGCTCACATGAGTCTGTGTGTGCTCACATGAGTGTGTGTACGTGTGTGTGTGCACAGGTGTGGTGCGTGCCGAGCCCATGCGCCCCATGCCCGAAGAGCCCCCCAACCCCACGGACGTGGAGGCGACGCTGCAGCGTATCCGTGACAACGACCCCCGCCTCCAGGAGGTCAACCTCAACAACATCAAGGCAAGCGGCCCCCCACAATCACAGGGCCCCCCCCCCCACCATAACAGGGCTCCCCACACTCGGTGTCTTCTCAGCATGACTGGAGGGTGATTCGGTGTGACTAAGGGGGATTTACGGGTGAATCTGAAACAAGAATGCCTTGGGTAGACTTGAAGCCGACTCAGAGGTGACTTGATGGTGACTTGATGGTGACTTGATGGTGACTTGAATCTGGCCGCTCGACCCCACAGAGCATCCCGATCCCAACGCTGAAGGATTACGCGGAGGCGCTGAAGAGGAACACCCATGTCGCGTCGTTCAGCCTCGCGGCCACACGCAGCAACGACCCCGTCGCCCTGGTGAGGCCCCCACCACCTCCTGAGCGCTCCTCACCTCCTCGCCGCTCCTCACCTCCTCGCCGCTACACACCTCTGCTCTACCCACCTCTTCCCCTCAACACCTCCTCACCTCCTCACACGGGGCAGCTCGGATCACGTGATCTCCCGGTTGGTCTGCCCTTGCATCGTTGTCCCGTTTCCTCTCCTCGGCATCTTCGCGATCCTCTTGACTCCTGTCCCCGCCAACTCCCCCGTGCCCCCCACCTTGCCCCAGGCACTGGCGGACATGCTACGGGAAAACCGCGCGCTGCGCAGCCTCAACGTGGAGACCAACTTCATCACAGGCAGCGGCATCCTGGCCATGGTGGAGGCGATGCACGAAAACGACTCGCTCAGCGAGCTCAAGATCGACAATCAGGTGGGGCGCGGGGAGGGGGGTGTGGGGGGACGGGGATTGGGGGTAGTGGTGGCGATGTGGGTGATGTTACAGAGGCCGCTGATGGTTGATGTAAAGATGTTGGTATTGTTGATGATGATGTTGGCGGTGATAGTGCTGATGTTGGTGTTGGTGATGTTACAGAGGCAGCAGCTGGGGAACCACGTAGAGATGGAATTGGCTCGCCTGGTGGAGGAGAAGCCGACGCTGCTGAAGCTGGGATACCACTTCCTGCAGCAGGGGCCCCGCACGCGGGCAGCAGACGCAATCACCCGCAACAACGACCTGAGTGCGGAACACGCACCGCACACGCACCGCACACGCACCGCACACGCACCGCACACGCACACTTGCCCACACACCCACGAATGCGCACACACCATAACTCAAGTATGTCAGGTGTCTGTGTTTTAATGTTTGTATGTGTGTATGCAATCTAAGTTTTTGTCGCGAGGGGTGGTGGCGCAATAGTTAGTGCGCTGCTGTACAAACCCAGTGACCTGAGTTCAATTCCCGCTCACGACCAATAAGTGGCGAAATATCTAAACTGGTTCTGGGCCTCCATGAGGTGAACTCCACCTTTAAATGGGTACTTGGTGCGGTGTGTATAAAACATCAGCAGCAAGGTGCGGTGCTGGTGGCCACCCACCCACCCACCCGTGCCCCATGCCGGCCTTTGTAGGTGCTCGTCACGTACAAGTCTGTTGATGGCTACACTTGGGATCTTTGCCTCTTCTGCAGTTCGACAGAAGAGGCTGGAGGGGTGAGACACGGCCATCCACGGAGAGGACAGCTGGGCCACGGCCACCCTGGGCCAACACCGCCAGCCCAGGTCCCATCTCCTCCAGGTCCACTGTCCTGGCCCCCCTCCCCAGCTGCGATCCCCTCGCCCGCCCTCCCGCCAGCACCACCACCACCCCACCCGCCGCCACCCTCCCCCTTGGTGCCACCCGCACTGGAGTCGGCACCGTCGAGGTCACGTGACCTCGTGACCCCAGCCTCGCCTGGACGGGGACCAATTGACGCGATGACGATTGGGACGTGACAGCTCTCCTTCCGCCCCCCACCAGCTTCCACCACCCATGGCCCCCCCTCCCCCGGCCTCCCGTGATTGATCAATCTTCCACGACATTCGAAGTGATAACAATTCGGCCGAAATTACAACCATTACCATCGTGATGCGATGGTTAAATCTTTCATCGTAACCATCATCGTCATCACCGTCATCATCGTCATCATCATTGGTTTACAACTCGAACATTCCTGACCAGCCATCAAACCTGGGGACAATTCCACGGATGTCCTCACTTCGGTCCAATCCAACCGTGCTCCAGGTTTTCCAGATAGAAATCCGTGGCAGCTCTCTACCCCGGCTATGTTTCCGTTACATTCCCACGTACAATTCCCGCGGCGGTTCGAAATCCGAGGAAGCTCCAATTTTTCGCTCCAAGAAATCGTGATCCCTTTTTTTCCCGACCTTCGGAGCCTAAAAAAGGTGCTTCCGTGGATTTCCCACGATTATCCTCGCCGGATGGGAGCAGCACCTTGTTGCACGCGTCGGGGCCTGCGCCAGGCTTCTCCACGTGGTGTAACCGTCGCCGTTGTCGCCATCGTCATCGTTTTGATATTTTGTTGCCGATGAGGCCGGCGGTTGCATGTTTTGTATCGTTTTGCTAGGGGTCATCTTAATCGCGTTTTTCATTCTCGGGGTGGGTTTTTGTCTTTTTGTGTTTACGTGAGAGTTCCGCCGTCCTCTGCCATACATCGCCGCGTCGCGCTGCAAACGACGTGCGGACGTCGTCGTCGCCGCCGCCGCCATATTAACGAGGTCGGGGTCGAGTAACTGAAGGGTCGCCACTCCGTCCTGGTGTTCCCCCGGATCGCGTCGTCGCTCGTGGACAGGAAGAGAGGCGGCCGCTGCAGAGCTGGCAAAGAAATCTGTCGGTCTTCCCTCGTAACATCAACGCTCGCGGTTATTGTCCCCTGTGTAGGAATATTGACAGTAATGCGACACCACTCGAGGCAATCCTACCTACAAGTACCATATTCTCCAGAGGCCGACAAAGACAAAGGTCCGCCGTACAGCTTTAAGCAAACTTTTGGGGAAAGTACCGTTAGCGGGCACTTGTTGAAGGCCGGCACGAGGTGGGTGGAGGTTGCCAGCGCTGTGCCCGACCGCCTTTGTCTCCCCAGTGTTGATGTTCCATACACTGCACCAGCTACTCATTTGAGGCCGAGTCGACCTAGGGGAGGCCTCCGTCATCGTCATTGGGTCATGTGAGCGGTAATTGGAATTGGGGGGGGTAGGGGTCTCCCAGGTTTTAAGCGCCGCAGTGGCAAGCTGCTAACCGCTGTGCCACCGCTCACTGCGCGTCCAAATCTGGCCACGCACACCGCTCTCGCAGATTAAGTCGCGCCCCCAAGTTTGGCTTTCAAATGCCGGAGGGATGTCGTGCGTCGTGTGACCCCGGAGAGTACGACAGCTCCTCTTCCTCTGCTATCGCCAGCGAGATCCTCCTGCTCCTCCAGCGCCCGATTATTGTGCGCGTGCGTGTGTGCGTGCGTGTGCGTGCGTGCGGGTGCGTGTGTGTGTGTGTGCGTGTGCGTGCGCGTGTGTTTGCGCGTGCGTGTGTGCGCGTGAGTGTGTGCGTGCGTGTGTGTGCGTGTGTGCGTGTGTGTGCGCGTGTGTGCGCGTGTGTGCGCGTGTGTGCGCGTGTGCGCGTGTGTGTGCGTGTGTGCGTGTGTGTGTGCGATCTCGGTGGCTTGACAAGGCGAGCCCAGAGGACCTCGTGGCCTCGACCTCGTCCGTCCCCGACAACGATGTAGGCGGCCGGCACCCCCCCGCCCCCCGCCTGTTTTGAGCGCGAGAGAGAGAAGTGGAGAATTCAGCAGAGTTAGGCGAGTTCTCAGGGCAAGCTAGGAGACGCAAGTGTCCATGCATTGAAGCGCAGGTGGGTAGAGGTGGGGGGGGGCTCGTGACAACGCCCCCCCCGCCCCCCCCCCCCACCCCGCGTGTAACCGCCAACTTGACGTGCGTGGGACCCCCGAGCGAGGGGGTCCCCTTGGTGTGATTCACCCCCCCCCCCCCCCCACTTATGCTGGGCCTCCTCTGGGTATTTTAGGTCCCCCTAAAAGGTAGGCGGGTTCCCAGGTATGACCGTTGGGTGTCGAGGGCTCCCCCCCCTCCCCATAGATAAGACCCCACCCCCGTGGAAGTGAAGCCAGCCCCCCCTAGATTATAGCCCCTAGGTGTGGGTCCCCCCCCCCCGTCCCATTTTTTTAAACAGCCCAAGGTGTGACGCCCCCCCCACTCCGCGCTCCCAATATTCGTGTGTGGGTCTACCCATACTTCACCGCAGGTGTTGGGGAGCAGCCTCCCCCCCCCCCCCCCCCCCCCCCCCACGTTTGTGGGGGGAGGGGTGCAATGAATCGTGGCTCTTTATTTTTGCTTTGGGGAAGTTCACGGCTACAGCAAGAATCCGGGTGACGTCACACTAACGCATTCCGGTGACGTCACCACACATTCTGGTGACGTCACCAAACATTCCTGAGCTATGCACCCCCCCTCTCAATCCCCCCCGCCCCCCTCCACGGGGGAGGGGCGGGGTAGGAACTCGACCCCCCGCCCGCCCCAATTCGCCATCTGACGAATTGTGGGGCGGGTTTTATTTTTTGGCCATACTTCACCACGCTGGTCAATGCGGGTTGGGGGGTTTGCGTGGGAGCATAGAAGTACAGCGCTACCTGCCCTGTGTTGTCCACCATATCGCCACCCCGCCCGTTACATCGACCCCTGATATACGGTGTCCCCCCCCCCCTGGCATGGGAGTCTGGACGACTGAAAGTGGTCCTTCACGCGACTCTCAATACACAAGCCTCTCTCTCATTCGTTCATTGCAGTCTCATTCGTGAAGTCGTGCGTGAGCCACCTGTGCTACAACAAACAAATAAAGTATCGGTCATCGTGAGCACGGAGGACTCAGAAGTGTGCATTCGCTTGCAGAACGATTTGAACCGAGGCCTCGAGCCTCGTTTGCAGGAGCGTCCTGCTCACGTGGGGGGGGGGGGGGGGCATGGTCGTACACAACAACAACCAAAGATCCCCCGTGTAGCCTTTAACAGGCTGTTGGGGCAAGTGCTGTTCGCGAGTAGACAGAACGGTACCACGCCCGGCCGTCTTTATCTCCCCCAGTGCCGATGTTTTCACACTACCAGGTAGTCATTCAGTGCTGAGTCGACCTAGGGCGAGGCCCAGGGACCGATCACTGATATTGGCCGTTGACGATATTGAAACAACTCGGGTCGCCGAGTTCATTGGCGAGTGCGCTCACCACTGCGCCACCGCTCTCCGCACACGCACACCCCTAATCACACGTTACTCAAGTCTCTTGCACAAACACGCTCAAAGCACGTGCACACATCCAGTGTAAACTACACACACCTCGTGTTACATAAACACCGTAGACACACAGACTCCCTTTATAGCCTTTATCAGAATGTTGGGACACGTCCTGTCGGCGAGTAGCACCTATGAAGACCAACACGGCTCACGAGGGGGTCATGTGATCAGCTGCTGCTGCTGCACATACAAGAAGCCTCGCTGGTGTTGGCCGTGAGCGGAGATCTCACTCGGATCGCCGGGTTGTGAGCGCGACCACAGCACTGCCCCTCCACGCACCGCACGCACAAACAATAGTTACGGACTTTACCAAAGCGGGCAATGCGACGTTAAAGACCCAGTGGCATCACCGGCGCGGCGATGAACACGAGCGGCGATTCCCGTCTCCACCCGTCGCGTGAACGACCCCGGACTCGCTGCTGCTGCTGCTGGGAGGCAATTGAGATGTGACAGAGCCACGCTGTTAGCAGCAGCAATATTGTATACCTACTCTGGTTATCAAAACCGGTTTCCTGTAACCGCTACGAAAACTGGTTCCGGTTTGCGGGACAATCATGGCTACAACCGCAGCTGTGATGTAGTTGGATCGTGGCTGGATTATTTGAATGAACCCCTAACCTTGACTCCTGCCTGATCCTTCCATGCAATCTAAATGAAATGCGTGAGTGGAGTTTGTGTGCCCCCCACCACCAGTTTTTCTGAGTGTGGGGGGGGGGGGGGGGAGCGGTGGCGCAATGGTTAGTGCACTGCGTTACGAACCCGGCCACCCGAGTTTGATTCCCGCTCGCGTCCTGACTAATACCTCAACCTGTCCTGGGTCTCCCCTAGGTCGACTCAGTCTCACGAGTACCTGGTGCGGTGTGTACAACATCGCCACTGGGAAGACAAAGAGGGCTCGACATGGTGCTGGCAACCACCCCCTCGTCTACCGTGACGGTCTTCATCGGTGTTCCTTAACAGCACTTGCCCAGCAGCCTGCTAGAGCAGTGTTCTTTACTAATGTTCAGAGGGGGGCGGCCCACTTTCGCCGATAAGACGCTACACATTTGTAACCATTGGGGTTTGGAAGCACGGTGGGGGGGGGGGGGGGGGTCACATCTGCTGTGCACTGTCGAGGTCCACTCGCCAGGGGCCGCACTAAAGGCCACCAGGGGCCACACTAAAGGCCGCCAGGGGCCGCACTAAAGGCCGCCAGGGGCCGCCAGGGGCCACACTAAAGGCCACCAGGGGCCACACTAAAGGCCGCCAGGGGCCGCCAGGGGCCACACTAAAGGCCACCAGGGGCCACACTAAAGGCCGCCAGGGGCCACACTAAAGGCCACCAGGGGCCGCACTAAAGGCCACCAGGGGCCACACTAAAGGCCGCCAGGGGCCACACTAAAGGCCGCCAGGGGCCACACTAAAGGCCGCCAGGGGCCGCCAGGGGCCACACTAAAGGCCACCAGGGGCCACACTAAAGGCCACCAGGGGCCACACTAAAGGCCACCAGGGGCCACACTAAAGGCCACCAGGGGCCACACTAAAGGCCACCAGGGGCCACACTAAAGGCCGCCAGGGGCCACACTAAAGGCCACCAGGGGCCACACTAAAGGCCACCAGGGGCCACACTAAAGGCCACCAGGGGCCACACTAAAGGCCACCAGGGGCCACACTAAAGGCCGCCAGGGGCCACACTAAAGGCCACCAGGGGCCACACTAAAGGCCGCCAGGGGCCACACTAAAGGCCGCCAGGAGCCGCCAGGGGCCGTGGGCCTCGCGATGAAGAGCGATGGCTTCAAGGCTGCACGTGGAATGTTGTCTTTGTGAGAGTGTGTGGCAAAGTGGCAAGCACAGGTTTGCGTCTGCCACTCATCTCGGTCAACCCACAACATATGGGTCAGTCCAGTTACCTGCCAGCAGCGAGGCCTTCAAAAATTCACGTGATGGCATCAAAGTGGACCTAGCCTGGCACAAGCGCCGTGGCGACCGACGGCTGCTGTTGGAGTTTGTACCGCTCCCCCTGTTCTGCGTGGGGTTTCCTCCGGGCCCTCCCATGGCCAGACATACCCCCATGCTGAGAAACGACTTTCAAATCACTCGATTTGGGTCACACAGCAGCAGCAGCAACATCGGCCCCCACAACTGTGAAAACTTGGCAGGACCCTCCATAAACAATAATCTTGACACTCGCTCAGGGTTTCCTGTGTGAACAAGCGGAATAGCAGTCCAACCAAACACGATGTTGAGTCATATAGCTCCGGTTTTCATGCCTGCACAGCGAGCGGTGGAAAGTCCACATTCCTATGGCAAGGGACGAGGCTATCCATAGGACAACCGCGATCGGCTTGCTCACTCGGGTTAGCCACCCCGTGCACCCCACGTGGTCGCTTCGTTATCGAGAGTTGACCCAAAGGGCGACACCTGGCCACTCCGTGATGGATGATGATGATTAGAGTGCAACCCTGGTCTTGTATTGAGCGGGTGAGTGAATGAGTGTGTGAGTGAGGTTTTGAGTGTCTGAGTAATACAGCGAATATGAAGGAGAGAGCTAAAGCATCTGGGTCCACGTCTCACACCCCTAACCCCTGCATCCAACATGGTAGGGTCTGACCGCACCCCCCTTTCCGTCCCACGGATGGTTGCTGCCGTTAATACAAAGCACGGGAAACGAGGGGTGGGGGTGGTCGTGGGTTTGGGGCGGTTTAAAAAATCGGTTTGTTTGCACTACCGGTAACCGCATGACGGTTACCGGTTTTACCGCACACACACTAATGCATGTCTAGCAAGCAATGACAGGTGGATCGAGTTCGATTGCCGCTGACAGCCAATCAATATCGGTGGTGAAATAATAGAACCGGTCCTGGGTCGCTCTCCTAGATGGCGTAAAATATCAGTACCGGGGTGACAAAGCCGTCCGGGGATGGCGCTTAGCCACATCACCCCTCTTAATGGATGCTCACTCACTAACAGCACTTGCTCCAACGAGCCTATGAAGGGCTATAGGGTGGATCTGTGTGTGTGTGTTTGCATGAGAGGTGTGTGCAGGCGTGTTGTTGTGGGTGTGACTGTGGTCGCGTTCCCCAGAGAGATGGGTGGGGGGGAATTGCTGATCACAAATAACATCATCAGCAGCAGTTACACCCTCCTCGGAGTGTGGGAGTCAGGGGTGTGTCACACACCCCGAAACCCACAACTCCCACCATACACCATCATCCCATCACACACCCCATACCCACAGCTCCCATCATACACCATCATCCCATCACACACCCCAAACCCACAGCTCCCACCATACACCACCATCCCATCACACACCCCAAACCCACAGCTCCCATCATACACCACCATCCCATCACACACCCCAAACCCACAACTCCCATCATACACCATCATCCCATCACACACCCCAAACCCACAGCTCCCATCATACACCACCATCCCATAACACACCCCAAACCCACAACTCCCATCATACACCACCATCCCATCACACACCCCAAACCCACAGCTCCCATCATACACCACCATCCCATCACACACCCCAAACCCACAGCTCCCATCATACACCACCATCCCATCACACACCCCAAACCCACAGCTCCCATCACACACCCCAAACCCACAGCTCCCACCATACACCACCATCCCATAACACACCCCAAACCCACAACTCCCACCATACACCACCATCCCATAACACACCCCAACCCACAACTCCCATCATACACCACCATCCCATAACACACCCCAAACCCACAGCTCCCATCATACACCACCATCCCATAACACACCCCAAACCCACAACTCCCATCATACACCACCATCCCATAACACACCCCAAACCCACAACTCCCATCATACACCACCATCCCATCACACACCCCAAACCCACAACTCCCATCATACACCACCATCCCATCACACACCCCAAACCCACAGCTCCCATCATACACCATCATCCCATCACACACCCCAAACCCACAGCTCCCATCACACACCCCAAACCCACAACTCCCATCATACACCACCATCCCATCACACACCCCAAACCCACAGCTCCCATCATACACCATCATCCCATCACACACCCCAAACCCACAGCTCCCATCACACACCCCAAACCCACAGCTCCCATCATACACCATCATCCCATCACACACCACAAACCCACAGCTCCCATCATACACCATCATCCCATCACACACCCCAAACCCACAGCTCCCATCATACACCATCATCCCATCACACACCACAAACCCACAGCTCCCACCATACACCATCATCTCATCACACACCACAAACCCACAGCTCCCATCATACACCATCATCCCATCACACACCCCAAACCCACAGCTCCCATCATACACCATCATCCCATCACACACCACAAACCCACAGCTCCCATCATACACCACCATCCCATCACACACCCCAAACCCACAGCTCCCATCATACACCATCATCCCATCACACACCACAAACCCACAGCTCCCATCATACACCACCATCCCATCACACACCCCAAACCCACAGCTCCTACATGGGGTGGGTGAGTGGGTGAATGAGGGTCGGTGAGTGAATGCGTGGTGAATGAGTAAGTGATATGAGCGAGTTAAGGCGAGACCTCAAGACAAAGGGATGGAGTCTCACTTGCAATCGGGACCTGGGCTGTCACCGTAAATATCACGTACTGTACAGCAATTAAGCAAAACGAATTCAGAGCAGCAACAACAACGACTAAATGGTCGCCACCACGGGCCCAAGTGCGAGGGCCCCTCATGGCCAATCCCTCCCTCGCCTCGGAGCCCAGCGCCTGGGCCCCTGCCGCCTGAGGGCCGCGATGCAGTTGCACCGCCTGCACCCTGGATAGCTGAGCAGCCGCTGTCACCCATCACCTGTCACCCATCACCTGTCACCCATCACCTGTCACACATCACCTGTCACATATCACCTGCCCTCACCCACCAATTACTCTCACCAATCATCTCCCTTCACCCATCATTCCACCCATCACCTCCCCTCACCACCCACCCTCACCCCTAACCCTCACCCACTGTCTCCCCTCACCCACCCTCACCCCTCACCCACCCTCACCCCTCACCCACCACCTCCCCTCACCCAACCTCACCCACCACCTCCCCTCACCCACCACCCACCACCTCCCCTCACCCACCCTCACCCACCCTCACCCCGCACCCACCCTCACCCCTCACCCACCACCCACCCTCACCCACCACTTCCCGAGTCACAAGGACGAGTGTATGCGATAGCCAATGGCTGCGAGGTGGCTTTATGAGAGGTGGAACAGCACGGAGCGAGGAGTGGTCGTGATGGAGGAGGAGGGTTAAGGGAGGGAGGAAAGGGAGGAGGGAGAGATCCCCAGGATAAGAGGCCCTTGGAGATTTATTAAATGTCCATGGGGGAAGGCAGGGGCGTGGAGTGGGTGGTAGACTGACACACTCACACACTCACACAACTCACACTCACACACAACTCACACTCACAAAACGTACATCCACACTGCACTGACGCATACTGAATCACTGACACCGATACAGACACTGATAGACTCAACAACAGCCGCAGTTCACCGCTAAGTGGCGGTGATGTCACAACGGCGCCTGTGCCAGGCGAGGTGCACACTCACGCACACACTGACACTCGTACTGACACTCGCAGACACATTAAAAACACAACACACTGACCACACACACACAACAACCGCCATTCGCCGCTAAGTGGTGGTGACGTCACCACGACGCCTGTGCCAGGCTATGTGCACCTTGAGGCCACGTGAAGTGTCGAACGCCCGCTGGCAGGAGGTCACAGGGCAGACCCAGGTGCCACGGGTCGACTGACTGAGATGACCGAGATGACTGGCTGATGCACCACCTGTGCCCCCTACTCTGCGAACTTGCTGTGCTTTAGCCACCCGGCGCTCCGCTCGTTGTTGTGAGCGTCGCTCCTCCGCCCTCCGTTGTTGTTGGAGGGCGACTGCCTCCAACTGCCCAGTGGCGTCCTTCACGAGCCTCCTCCACAGAGGCCGATCTTGACACAGCTGGTACCGGTCATCGGCAAGTCCACTCAGCTCCACATCCTTCTGTACCATATCACTCCATCTCTTCTCTAGCCCGTACCGCACCAGTTTAGCCCCCTCGATCCGGCCGAACAAAAGCTGTTTAGGCATGCGGTGGCTGGGCATGCGGGCTACATGGCCCAGCCAACGCAGCCTTGCCTGCCGGAGGAGCTCACCGATGGGAATTTGCCCAGATCTTTCAAGGATATGTGAGCTTCTCACACAATCCAGCCTGGTTAAACCCAAGATGGATCGTAGGCAAGCCAGCCTAAATGTTTCTAACCGGCGAAGATGTTCCATTAGGGGGGTCCACGTTTCGCAAGCGTAGAGAAGGGAGGAAATTACTATGGCCAAGAAGACCTGAAGCTTCGTGCAGAGCGACAGACCAGGTAGCTTCCACACAGCGTTACACAACCAATCTATATATATAAAATCGTTCATGTCTGTGTGTCTGTGTGTGTGTGTGTGGACTGCACTTTCATTGGACGGCGGTTGCCCCTGGCAACGGCTAGCCACGCCTTCGCAGCTTTCATTGGACGGCGGTTGCCCCTGGCAACGAGTAGCAACTTTTCTCCGCGGGGTGGACGCCATTTTTAATAGCGCGGCGGGGGGGGGGGGGGGGGACCGGCACCCGTACCCAGCGTTCGCCGGGTGGGAAAATCAGGCAAGGCGGGAGGCTCTGCACGGTGCTAGGCCTCGACACCCAACACGCCACTCTGAGGTAAATTCATACAAATTTCACGTCCTCTACAGAGTGGCGAGGGAGGCAGAGTGGCGAGGGAGGCAGAGTGGCGAGGGAGGGACTCAGCCTCAAAACGAGTAACTGGTGTGGCGTATTAACATCGCCACTGGGGAGACAAAGGCGGCCGGGCCTGGTGGATACAAGTCCCGGGCAAAGCCGGGTCATGACTATGTGTGTATGTGTTTATGTGTATGTCTCTGTGTCTGTATGTATGTGTGTATGTATGTGTCTGTATGTGTTTGTGTGTATGTATGTGTGTGTCTGTATGTATGTGTGTGTGTATTGTGTATGTGTTTGTGTGTATGTATGTGTGTGTTTGTATGTATGTGTATGTTTGTGTGTATGCATGTGTGTGTATGTGTTTGTGTGTATGTGCGGTTATGTATGTGTGTGTATGTGTGTGTCTGCAGCAAGCGCGTGTATGTGTACCTATGGACGCGCGCGCGTGTGTTGTGTAGGGGGAACGGTAGTGTAGTGCTTAGCGTACTGCCTGTGTGTGTGTCTGTGTGTGTGTGTCTGTGTGTGTGTGTGTCTGTGTGTGTGTCTGTGTGTGTGTCTCTGTGTGTGTGTGTCTGTGTGTGTGTGTCTGTGTGTGTGCGTGTGTGGTGTGTAGGAGGAACGGTAGTGTAGTGCTTAGCGTGCTGCCTGTGTGTGTCTGTGTGTGTGTGTGTCTGTGTGTGTGTGTGTCTGTGTGTGTGTGTCTGTGTGTGTGTGTCTGTGTGTGTGTCTGTGTGTGTGCGTGTGTGGTGTGTGGGGAGCGGTAGTGTAGTGGTTAGCGTGCTGTCTGTGTGTCTGTGTGTGTGTGTCTGTCTGTGTGTGTGTTCTGTGTGTGTGTCTGCGTGTGTGGTGTGTGGGGAGCGGTAGTGTAGTGGTTAGCGTGCTGTCTTTGTGTCTGTCTGTGTCTGTCTGTGTGTTTCTGCGTGTGTCTGTGTGTGTGTGCGTCTGTGTGTGTGAGGAGCGGTGGGTGTAGTGGTTAACGCTACGCTGCGCTACCAACCCGGCGAACCGAGTTAGATTCCCGCTCATGGCCACCACCGATCAAGATTATTTGAACCTCACATAGGTCGACTCAGCCTCAAACGAGTAACTGCTGTGGCGTATTAACATCGCCACTGGGGAGACAAAGGCGGCCGGCCGTGGTGGATACAAGTCCCGGGCGAAGCCGGGTAGTACAGCTAGTTAAAAGATAATGCCGCTCGACTGATTCGGAGTGCGACCTCTGCTGTCAAACCGGAGCCGGTCATGAGCATACTGCCCAGGTATGGGAAACTCTCCACTCTCTCCACTACTGCCCCATCACCCATTGGGAGTTGTGGGGGTGGAGTGTCCGATGGTACAAAATATCCAAGCTGGCGCTTAGTTTTGGTGGGGCTGATGGTAAGTCCCTACCTCTTAGTGGCAAGTTCCAGGTTCAGCAGCAGCGTCTCCAACTCCTCCTCTGAGTAAGCAGCAATTGCCAAATCATCAGCATACATAACGTGATTGACCAATAGGAAGCCATCCCTTGACCGCACCTGGGCATCGATCAGCCTCCCATTGTTTCTGTACCAGATGGAGATTCCCCCGGTACAGTTATTGAAGGCTTCACGAACTACGTGGTCAAAATAGATGTTAAATAATGTGGGAGCCAGAGAACATCCCTGTTGCACCCCAAGGTGTACAGGGAATGGCTCCGACTCCCGGCCACGTAGTTTTACCTGGGCCCGCTTACCATCATGAAGGTCCTTAATGATCGTGAGCAGAGGGTCAGGGACTCCGAAAGCACGAAGAACAACCCAGAGCCCAGGCCTACTGATGGTATCATAGACACTGACAAACACGCTGACACAACAACAACAACCGCCATTCGCCACTAAGTGGCAGTGACGTCACCACGACGCTTGTGCCAGGCCATGTGCACAATTGAGGCCACGTGAAGTGTCGAACGCCCGCTGGCAGGAGGTCACGGGGCAGACCCAGGTGCCACGGGTCGACTGACTGAGATGACCGAGATGACTGGCTGATGCACCACCTGTGCCCCCTACTCTGCCAACTTGCTGTGCTTTAGCCACCCGGCGCTCCGCTCGTTGTTGTGAGCGTCGCTCCTCCGCCCTAGGTTGTTGTTGGAGGGCGACTGCCTCCAACTGCCCAGTAGCGTCCTTCACGAGCCTCCTCCACAGAGGCCGATCGTGACACCGCTGGTACCGGTCATCGGCAAGTCCACTCAGCTCCACGTCCTCCTGTACCACGTCACACCATCTCTTCTCTAGACCGTACCACGCCCGTTTAGCCCCCTCGATCCGGCCGAACAAAAGCTGTTTAGGCATGCGGTGGCTGGGTATGCGGGCTACATGGCCACACACACTGACAACAACAACAACCGCCATTCGCCACTAAGTGGCGGTGACGTCACCACGATGCTTGTGCCAGGCCAAGTGCACCTTGAGGCCACGTGAAGTGTCGAAAGCCCGCTGGCAGGAGGTCACGGGGCAGACCCAGCAGGTGCCACGGGTCGACTGACCGAGATGACCGAGATGACTGGCTGATGCACCACCTGTGCCCCCTACTGTGCCAACTTGCTGTGCTTTAGCCACCCGGCGCTCCGCTCGTTGTTGTGAGCGTCGCTCCTCCGCCCTCCGTTGTTGTTGGAGGGCGACTGCCTCCAACTGCCCAGTAGCGTCCTTCACGAGCCTCCTCCACCGAGGCCGATCTTGACACCGCTGGTACCAGTCATCGGCAAGTCCACTCAGCTCCACGTCCTCCTGTACCACATCACTCCATCTCTTCTCCAGCCCGTGCCGCGCCCGTCTAGCCCCCTCGATCCGGCCGAACAAAAGCTGTTTAGGCATGCGGTGGCTGGGCATGCGGGCTACATGACCCAGCCAACGCAGCCTTGCCTGCCGGAGGAGCTCACTGATGGGACTTTGCCCAGATCTTTCAAGGATTTGTGAGCTCCTCACACAATCCAGCCTGGTTAAACCCAGGATGGATCGTAGGCAGGCCAGCCTAAATGTTTCCAACCGGCGAAGATGCTCCACCAGGGGGGTCCACGTCTCGCAAGCGTAGAGAAGGGAGGGAATGACCGTGGCCGAGAAGACCTGAAGCTTCGTGCGGAGCGACAGACCAGGTAGCTTCCACACAGCGTTACGCAACCGATGAAAAAATATTGCCGCTCGACTGATTCGGAGTGAGACCTCTGCTGTTAAACTGGAGCCGGTCATAAGCATACTGCCTAGGTATGGGAAACTCTCCACTCTCTCCACAACTGCCCCATCACCGATTGGGAGTTGTGTGGGTGGAGTGTCCGATGGTACAAAATACCCAGGCAGGTGCTTAGTTTTGGTGGGGCTGATGGTAAGGCCCCACCTCTTAGTGGCATGCTCCAGTCTCAGCAGCAGCGTCTCCAACTCCTCCTCTGAGTGAGCAGCTATTACCAAATCATCGGCATACATAACGTGGTTGACCAATAGGGAGCCATCCCTTGATCGCACCCGGGCGTCGATCAGCCTCCCATTATATCTGTACCAAATGGAAATTCCCCCGGTACAGCTATTGAAGGCTTCACGAACTACGCGGTCAAAATAGATGTTAAATAATGTGGGAGCCAGAGGACATCCCTGTCGCACCCCAAGGTGTACAGGGAAAGGCTCCGACTCCCGGCCACGTAGTTTTACCCGGGCCCGCTCACCATCATGAAGGTCCTTAATGATCGTGAGCAGAGGGTCAGGGACTCCGAAAGCACGAAGAACAACCCAGAGCCCAGGCCTACTGATGGTATCATAGGCCTTGACCAGGTCAATAAAGCAGAGATGTAGGTCTTTTTGGAATTCCCTACACCTCTGCTGTAGCAGACGGACAGAAAATATGGCATCTGTGCAGGACCGCCCTTTCCTGAAACCGCATTGGGGCTCCGCAAGCCTCTCCTCAGCGTGCCTAGCAAGGCGATGTTGAATAATCCTTGCCAGGACCTTACCCGGCACACTGAGGAGTGAGATGCCCCTGTAGTTGTTACAGTCGGTACGGTCCCCCTTCTTAAAGAGGGGAACCACCAGGGCATCCTTCCAGTCCTGCGGAACCCGTCCAGTGGTCCAGACTGTTGTTATGATGTCATATAGGGCAGTCTGTGCACAAACGCCACCCTCCCTCAGCATTTCGCTTGGGAGATCATCTCTGCCCGATGCCTTCCCTGGTCTCAGACTCCGGATCGCCCTCAGTACTTCCTCAACAGCTGGCACCTCAGCCAGCCACTCACAGGGGGTGACCTCTTCCAATATTTGAGGCACCGCAGCCTCAGCAGGGTTATCACCACTTTGTGCCATGATGTTTTCCTGGCTGAGAGAATTTCCCTCCCCCAGGACCTCACTGACAAAGATATAGCCTTAACAGACTGTAGGGGCAAGTGCTGTTAGCGAGCACCTATGAAGGCCGCAACGGTACACGAGGGGGTGGGTGGCCAGCACCACGCCCGACCGCCTTTGTCTCCCCAGTGGCGATGTTTTCACACTGCACCAGGTACTCATTTAAGGCTGAGTCGACCTAGGGGAGGCCCGGGACCGGTTCAGATAATCGTCACTGGTGTTAGCCGTGAGCGGGAATCGAACCCGGGTGGCCAGGTTCATAGCGCAGCGCGCTAACCGCTACACCACCGCTCCCCACGCACACTGACAAAGACAAAGATCCCCCGTATAGCCTGAACAGACTGTAGGGGCAAGTGCTGTTAGCGAGCACCTATGAAGGCCGGAACGGTACACGAGGGGGTGGGTGGCCAGCACCACGCCCGACCGCCTTTGTCTCCCTAGTGGCGATGTTTACACACCGCACCAGGTACTCATTTAAGGCTGAGTCGACCTAGGGGAGGCCCAGGACCGGTTCAGATAATCGTCACTGGTGTTAGCCGTGAGCGGGAATCGAACCCGGGTCGCCAGGTTCATAGCGCAGCGCGCTAACCGCTACACTACCGCTCCCCACTACTGACACACACACTGACACACACACTGACCACGCACACTGACACACACACTGACACACACACTGACCACGCACACTGACACACACACTGACACACACACTGACCACGCACACTGACACACACACTGACACACACACTGACACACACACTCAGCTCTTGTCACATACCCCGCGATGACGCAATGACACCGACACACAATGGCACGGGGATATAAGGAGATCACAATCACACTCACACGTCACTCAGAGACACGAGGACACGTTGACATTCACACAGCGACATAAACTTACACTCCTCACAAAAGACAAAGATCCCCCGTTTATATTATAGCCTTAACAGACCGCTGGGGCAAGTGCTGTTAGGGAGCAGCAGAAGGCCGACACGGCGCATGGAAGGGGTGGGGTGGCCAGCACCACCCGGCCGCCTTTGTCTCCCCAACGCTGATGTTTACACCGCACCGAGTTTGACCTCGTGGAGGCCCGGGACGGGTTCAGATATAATCAGTCACCGGTGTTGGCCGGGAGCGGACATCAAATTCTGGTGGCCGGGTTCGTAGCGTAGCGTAGCGCTAACTGCTGCGCCACCGCTCCCCAAAGACCCCCCCACCGTGTCACCTTAACAGACTGTTGGGGGGGTGCAAGTGCTGTGAGCGAGCAGCAAGCGGCACGTGCTGAAGGCCGGCACGGCACACGAAGGCCGTGGGTGGTGGCCACCACGTGCACGCCTCAACCCGTACCCATCCAGACTAACAAATACAATCCGTCCTGGGAGACGATCTTGAATCCATAGCTTGGATTGACACCCCCAGGGGAGGGGTTTCGGCGGCCCCGCGTGGAGGCAGCAGCAGCAGCAGCGACCCCTAGCGGCCGCCTCCTCTCACGCCTCACCCCATCACTCTCCTCTTCGCTATTAGGGGACGTCCATAAATGACGTCACGCACCTGGGGGGGGGGGGGTTGAGAAATGTGACGTCACATCAAAAAGCGCAACTTTAAATGAATATAGACAACACGTTCTACTTAATTAAATATACTTTTAAATACATTTTTTCCTACATCAGAGTGCAGCGCCACATTAAATACGCACTACAATGACAATAGTTTAAAGCGATTTGAAGCAAGTTTTATTTGGGGGGGGGGGGGGGGGGGGGGGGGCAGAGCTTTGTGACGTCATATTTGAGGGGGGGGGGTCAAAATCGTCCAAAATCGCGTGACGTCATTTATGGACGGCCCCTTATAATCTCCCCTCTCTCAACACAATGAGTACACCACCTGGACTCGAGTGTGGATGTAACACGGCAGGAGGCTCACCGTACACTTCTACCAATGTCTCGTGCCGTCTGCTGGTGGCATCTGTGCAAAAGAGCTTCATAGCTCATCGGATTCCTCCTGAAGTCTCAATGAAGACTCCGACTCCGTGGGGTTGCCCAGCCCCTCGGTTTGGCCGGGAGTCTCGATCGGAATTGATGACCGATCTCCCGGTGACGATCTAAAGCAGGGGTCGGGAACCTTTTTGACTGGGAGAGCCATAAAAGCCAAATATTTCTTAATATATTTCATTGACAGCCATATAGTATTTTTAACGTATAATAAATTAAATATGTCTTACTTTTAATGCGACTTCTGGTCACGGTACCCGTGACCCGAGAAATTTTATCTTCAAAACTAATTTCTGTTTACTTTAAAATGACACAGTATTATTAAGCAATATCACAAGTATTTTAAAATCAGTTCAAGACTGATTTTATTATTATTTTTGTATTATTATTTTTTTCAACTCAAAATTGTCTGGGAGCCATATGCCGTCACCGGAAGAGCCATATATGGCTCGCGAGCCATAAGTTCCCGACCGCTGATCTAAAGCAATCCGGGACATTTTAAAAGTAGAGGATATTTTAATGAAACTAATTGATGGCAATTTAGAACGTCTCCCGGAATAGCTGCAGCTGAGAGTTGATGGCAACCCGCCTCAACCTCCTCCTCCTCCCCCCACGATGTTTGAAAAAGTGAAAGATTTTGTGTTGAGATCCCAGAATCAGAACGTGTAATGAGGCTGGATCAATCTTTTGAGCGGAGATCCCATTAGAGGGACACAGCTTTTCAAACCTATGATCTCTGTCTCTCTTCTGGGCCTCTCTGTTCACAGTGTGTGTGTGTGCCCATGCAGAAGGGACATTGCTCGAAACGTCGACCGGCGTCACGGTTTCTGCCACCCTGATGGAATCGCCGATGGGTGAATCGCGAGCGCGATTACCGTGGTCGCGATTCCGCGATTCACGGAACGTGTCCAGCACCCATTGAAAGGCACGTTGAGAATCGACAAAATTAATTTGCGGATGTGGATCGCCAGCAGCCGGATCGTTACATATTCCCTAACAGCCAGAATGATTACAACATCCGCTAACAAAAACTATCGATCGATGTATCGAGTCGCAACTCAGACTTCCAGCATGGTTCAACACGCCTCAACCACCAACACAAAACGACACGCGGAATGCCAATTGCGATGGGTGACTAGAATCGATCTGCAGTGAATCGGTATAACTTCAACGTCGCTCACGATTCGATTCTAAAGGGGACGCGTGCGCTGCACTGCAGCCTGGCACGGGCGGTCTCTGTGTGCCGTGACATCGGGGGGCTCTCAGGGGGAGCTCGAGGGGGGCTCGAGGGGGGCCCATGGCGCAGGGAGGAGGGGGGGCGGGGAGGCGGCCCCGCGTGCTGCTGGGAGCCACCGGCAGCGTGGCGTCGGTGAAGCTGCCGCAGCTGGTGGCTCGCATCCTCGAACTTCCACAGCAGGCAAGTCGCCATCGTCTCTGGAACTTTGTCATCACTGAGACTTCATCATCATCGCGCTTTGCTTGAGAGGGTGCAGGATAAAGGTTCAGCCCTACAATCGCTCGCTCTCACGCCCCTGCTGGTGAAAGAGCCCCCCACTATCCCACTATGAGGAGCTCTAGTCGAGGGGTATTTGGCCTACTCTTCCACTGGTCCTATGTGAGTCCATTGTAACTATATACGGCTATGACTCGTGTGTTAGTCTATGAGTCCCGATGCAATTCTGACCCTTGTGTGCGTCTCTGATTTCTGTGTTAGTCTACGGGTCATATGGTCGTCTATGGGTCCCTATGTGAGTCTAAAGTCTAAACAGATAAAGGTGCAGCCCTGCAATTGCTCGCTCGCGCCCCCTGCTGGCAGATGGGCCGCCACGTGTGTGAACCCCCGCCTGTGTGTGCGGCCGAATGGGGGCGGTCGCGTAGCGGCCAACACCGGTGATGACTATCTGAACCGGTCCTTGGCTTTCCTTAGGTCGACTCAGCCTTAAATGAGTGCCTGGTCTGATGTGTAAAAACATCGCCACTCGGGAGACAAAGGCGGTCGGGAGTGGTGCTGGCCGCCCACCCCCTCGTGTGCCGTGCCGGCCTTCATAGGTGCTCGCTAACAGCACTTGCCCCTACATTAAAACTCTACGGGGGATCTTTGTCTTTGTGTAGCCGGAGGTGCGTGTGGTGTGCACGGAGCACGCGAAGCACTTCTTCGCAGCCGAGTCGCTGCCCGTCCCCGTCTACAGCGACGCCGACGAGTGGCAGGTGAGTGTCCACGACGCCTGTGCCAGGCTAGGTGCACCGAGCGAGGAAGGCTCGCTGCTGGACGGTGACGGGACAGACCCCAGGTGTTACGGCCGGCCTGAGATGATTGGCAGATGCACCACCTGTGCCCCCCACTGTGCCCCCCACTGTGCTCCCCACTGTGCCCCCCACTGCGCCCCCCACTGTGCCCCCCCCCGCCCTTCGCTGTGGTTAGAGGGCGACTGCCTCCCAACTGCCCAGCAGCAGCATCCTTCACGAGCCTATTCCTCCACAGAGGCCGATCTTGACACCGCTGGTGCCACACACACACACATATACACGCGCACACTATACAAGGAAAAAGATCCCATTTAGCATTTAACACAGACTGTTGGGAGCAAATGCTATATTAGCGAGCACTGATGAAGGCAGGCACATGGCACGCGTAACCGTCTTTGTTTCCCCAGCGCTGATGTTTAAACAGCGCAGCAGGTGTTCACGTGAGGCCATATGGAACGTCAGTGTGACCGTCACGTGCCAAGCGTTACTCCCATGTGGCAGAGCCGCCCTCTGCACTGTGCACAGAGCGGAGCTCGCTCAAAGAAGAGGAAGAAGGCCTCTCAGATGGAGCTCTGTGACATCCGCCTCCGCGAGCCGTTCTCTACGGAGCTCGAAGGGGTCTCGCCGCCCTGCGAGTTTTCCGAAACGAACCTTGGCATCTCGAGACGCAGCGCCGCCGATAATAGCGCAATCGTGATGGAACATTGGTGGGGGTGGGGTATTTATTTCCTATGCTGCCCCCACCCCCCATCCCCCATCCCCACCCCTCACCCCCATCCCCCATCCCCCCCTATCCCCCACCCCATCCCCCACCCCCCATCCCCACCCCCCACCCCCCATCCCCACCCCTCACCCCCATCCCCCATCCCCCCCTATCCCCCACCCCATCCCCCACCCCCCATCCCCACCCCCCACCCCCCATCCCCACCCCTCACCCCCATCCCTCATCCCCCCACATTCCCCCCCATCCCCCACCCCCATCCTCCACCCCCATCCCCCCCTATCCCCCACCCCATCCCCCCCACCCCTCCCATCCTCCACCCCCCATCCCCCACCCCCCATCCCCCCCCATCCCCCATCCCCCCCATCCCCCACCCCATCCCCCCCACCCCTCCCATCCTCCATCCCCCCCACCCCTCCCATCCTCCACCCCCCCCATCCCCCCCCATCCCCCACCCCCCATTCCCCACCCCCCACCCTGTGCGTCTCCCAGACATGGAGGCGTCTGGGTGACCCGGTGCTCCACGTGGAGCTGCGCCGCTGGGCCGACCTCCTGCTGCTCGCGCCGCTCGACGCCAACTCGCTCGCCAAGGTGGCCGGCGGTCTCTGCGACAACCTGCTGGTGAGCGGGCGGCGGTGACGTGTGGGGAGCTGCGGGCAGCGTGGGGGGTGGGCGGGGGGGTGAGGAGGGGTGCGGGGGGGGCACAGGTGTGGATGTCTTTAGGATTCTAATTTGCACTTTTTGGTGTGTGTGAGAGACTCTGTGGGTCTCTATGTGACTCTATTGGTCTGTTTGTGAGCCTGCGTTATCTTGATGTAAACCTCTGGGTTTCTACGTTAGGCTATGGGTCTTTGTGTGAGTCAGTGGGTCTCTCTATATGTCTATGAGTCCCTGTGCGAGTGTCTTTGTCTCTATGGGAAGCCATCTCGCATATTCCCCTTGTGCACCCAACCCCCCTTCCATGTACACCTCCCACACCCCCTTCCCCGCACACGTAGATGTGTGTGGTGCGAGCCTGGGACCGAGATCGCCCGCTGCTCTTCTGCCCGGCGATGAACACGCACATGTGGGATCACCCGCTCACGGGCGCCCACACGCGCACGCTGCGCCAGCTCGGCTACGAGGAGGTGGCGTGCGTGAGCAAGACCCTCGCATGCGGAGACACGGGTACGCTCGCGTGCGGAGACACGGCTACGCTCGCGTGCAGAGACACGGGTACGCTCGCGTGCGGAGACACGGGTACGCTCGCGTACGGAGACACGGGAACGCTCGTGCGCCCAGTCGCCTCCTTGGCACTCTGCTGCCGCCGCTGCCACGGTCGCTGTTCCCGTGAACTTGGCTCGTTCGATCACTCCGGCCGTGTTGAGTGCATCGCCACCCTGTGTTCAACTAGCACCACACCGCAGGTCACGACAACGCTCACCCATCCACCAGCTCACTCATTCATTGACTCGCTCACCCTCTCCACACACCGCCGGTCACTACAACGCTCACCCACCCACCAGCTCACTCATTCATTGGCTCGCTCACCCTCTCAGCACACCGCCGGTCACTACAACACTCACCCACCCACCAGCTCACTCATTCATTGGCTCACTCACCCTCTCAGCACACCGCCGGTCACTACAACGCTCACCCACCCACCAGCTCACTCATTCATTGGCTCGCTCACCCTCTCAGCACACCGCCGGTCACTACAACGCTCACCCACCCACCAGCTCACTCATTCATTGACTCGCTCACCCTCTCAGCACTCCGCCGGTCACTACAACACTCACCCACCCACCAGCTCACTCATTCATTGGCTCGCTCACCCTCTCAGCACACCGCCGGTCATTATAACGCTCACCCACCCACCAGCTCACTCATTCATTGACTCACTCACCGCACTGCAGGTGACAACTCATTCATTCACAAATGTATCCACTCACTAACTCAACTAACTCACCACACGGTAGGTCAACACAACAACACTCACCCACTCATTCCGATTGGTCCCAGCAATAGAACCGACCAGCGGTAATGGATGATTTCTAATCGCATTTCCCAGCTCTACTCACCACACTGCTCACCGACCCTCACCACCCCCCCTCACGACCCTCACCGCAGGTCTGGGTGCCATGGCGGAGGTGGACACGATTGTGCGGGCAGTGCAGACTCACCTGAGAGCCTCCCTCACCACACCTGAGCCCAGCTCCACACCGGAACATGGGTCTGCACAGGAACCTGGGTCTACACTGGAACCTGGATCCATACAGGGACCTGGGCCTACACAGGAACCTGGACCTACACAGGAACCTGGACCTACACAGGAACCCAGCTCCACACAGGGACCCAGGTCTACACAGGAACCTGGGCCTACACAGGAACTTGGGTCTACACAGGAACCTGGCTCTACACAGGAACCTGGACCTACACAGGAACCCAGCTCCACACAGGAACCCAGCTCCACACAGGGACCCAGGTCTACACAGGAACCTGGGTCTACACTGGAACCTGGATCCATACAGGGACCTGGGCCTACACAGGAACCTGGGCCTACACAGGAACCCAGCTACACACGGGAACCTGGGTCTACACAGGAACCAGGGTCTACACAGGAACCCAGCTCCACACAGGAACCTGGATCCATCCATGATTCTGTATCCAATACCTGAACTGCTTATAACCGAAGATTGCTTATATCTTAAAATTTTAACTGATTAGGGATGAAACCTCGGATCCGCGTGGCAAAGACCCAACACTTCATCTTCACGCAGCAGTCCCCTTCGTCAACACGGCATTGTTTAATTAATAAACCAGCCATTACAGAAGGCCTTCAGGGCTAAACTGCGTGTGTTTGTTTGCACGTGTCCCAAATTTGAGTAAACTCCTTGAAATTAAATTGTCCGATTTTCTGGGAGAAGTGCCGAGCAGCGTCTTCACGGGCATTGCCATCACCCAATCCTCCACCCCCCCACTCCACCATCCTCTCGCAGGCTTCTTCTATGTCCACCCCCCTCCTTAAATATATTAACGCACCACCCACCCCCCGATGATGGTGGCGGTGGTGACTCCGCACTTGGCTGCCTGTAATCCAGCACTGTGTTGGAGGCAGCAGCAGCGAGGGTTGTTGGATCGCGTGGAACTCTCTTCCCGTGGGCGTCGAGGAAGTATTCCCCTGCCTGGCTCGCCAAAAGGTAGAACAGCAAACGTGTTCTATCCGTATGGGATAGAGTGTTTCCCCCTCGCATGCAGGCACACATGCTTGGGTTTTCTCCCCAATGCTCTGACTTCCACACATATAAAGCTCATAAATTGGGCCAATAACACCTTGATATGTAGAGGACCACAGAGCTTGGGCAATTGTTGGTAGCGCCGGCTCCTCGCAGCCCGGATACTGCCGCTGCCTATCCCGCTCGTCCGTGGTTCCGCCCCGCGTCTCCGAGTCGTCCGCTCTCTCTCCGACAGCGCCGAGCGAATACCGCGCAGAGCAGTGTCACAAGTTGACACCGTCAATTAACTCTGCAGTATTCAAATGACGTCGAGGATTTTCAGTTATTTATTTAGCAAAGACAAAGCCGCGTGTTTCACAGGGCCCGCCACCTGTCGTCACAGGCGCAAGTGCACGTACATTATAAATTACAACAACAACCACACCAACAACAAACGTCAACAACGACAAACGCAGTGCGGTCACGCCGAGCCGGCTCCGAGCTGATTGGCCGACGGCCGCGCGTCGGCAAGCGGCGGCGTCGGCAGCCGGAGGAGGAACGCGGCGCACGTCTCGCCGCAGAGACGGAGCTACGAAACGGCCTCGTGTGCCAGGTGCCAGGTGCCAGGTAGATTGTTTTACGTCGCGGGGGAGGGGGTCTCCATCGTCCAGCAGTGGATCGATCACGGCTGACAGTGAGCGAGGGGGGTGTGAGCGTGACCCCCCCCCACCCCAGCTCCCCTCTCGCTATACCCCCAATTCCCTTCTCTCCCAGCCTTGTAGCCCCCTCTGCCCCCCCCCATCACGCGTGCCCGCAGGTTGCGCAGCGCCCCCGCGCGGCGCCGCCGCCGCGTAGGCGCATGTGCAGCGCGAGCCCCGTCAGCAGCAGCACGGCGAGCGCCGCGAGGCAGAGCGCCGGGGCGAACCACGGAGCCCGCACCACGTCCCTGGGGCCCAGCAGCACTGCGGGGGGGCGGGGGGGGGCAGGGAGAGAGGAGAAGGGGAGAGTGGGGGTAGGGGGGGGAGAAGGGGAGAGTGGGGGTAGGGGGAAGGGAGGGGGGCAGTGAGAAAGGGGGGTTGAAGAGGGTTACAATATGAATTTGTGCGTTGGAGTGGGGTGTGTGGGGTGTCCACTCACCCAAGCACTCGCCCAGTCGCTCACCCACTCCCTCCAATCGCTCACTCATTTACTCCAAACGCCCACCTACCGACTCGCTCACCGGCTCTCACCCCATTCAACAATCACTCGCCCACTCCAACCTCAAAAACAAAACCTCGCTCCTGCTACGTGGTGACGGCGCGTGGTGACGGTGAGCGATGACGTGATGACCGTCGTAACCGCTCCTCGCGGCAGCGATGCGTGACAGGTGGGATGACGGCACGCGCGCGATGCCCTCCGCCACCCAGCCTCGCCCGCTCGCCCGCCCGCTCTCTCGCCCGCACGCTCACCCTCGATGACCTGCTCCGTGATGTTTTCGACGCGCCGTGTGCTGGAGGCCGCAGCGGACTCGTGCCCCCCGCGCTGCTGGTGCTCCTCGTCGGGGACGCACGCCAGCACGCGGGCGTCGTAGCGCGCGCCGGGCCGGGCGCAGCCCCCGCACACCGCGTCCCGTGCCCGCGAGCACCCCGCCAGCATCACGCGGCCCCCCAGCGCGCAGTCCCGACACCGCCTGCAGTAGTACCTGTGGGGGGGGGGGGGGGTGAGCGGTAGGGAGCGGTGGCGCGGTGGTGAGCACTGCACCCGCGCGACGGAGACTGGCGACACCTCCGGGTTCGATTCCTCCTCGCGGCCGCCGGCCTCGGTGACGAACAATCTGACCCGGTTCTGGCGCTCTGCTCGGGTTGACGCGGCCTTTCTAAACGGGTGGCGTGTGAACATCGCTTTTTGGGGAGACAAAGGCGGCCAGGTGTGGCGCTGGTCACGTCCACCCCGTCGTGTGCCCTTCAAGCCCTAATAGGTGCTCGCAAACAGCACTTGCCCCAACAGTCTGTTCAAGGCTATAGAGAGGATATTTGTATTTGGGGGGGGGGGGGGATGTAAGCAGGAGCGTAACGAGCGCGGGGGGCAGGCACGGGCTGCCTTGTCCCCCCTCAGGCGGCCAAAGCTACGAGTTGGGGCCCCCTTGACAACCACCATAGGATTTGTTTTCAACAACAGTGTCATAGAACAACAACATTTATGTAACGATGTGATCAAGCAAGAGGAGCCGTGATGTACAGGGTGCTTAAAAACACACATTCCTGCGGAAGAAGCTGGTAGGAACGTTGGGTTGCTCGGTCAATGGCCTGCAGGGTCAACGGCGGCGTGGTGTATTCTGCAAATATGCCCGACTGTGAGGGCGGGCACAAGCCGGCCTGAGTAGATTAAACGTTGAGTTTTATAAGGACACCACGGGGTGACCAGCCCTTCCCCACCCAGCCCCTCCCTACCCAGCCCCTCGCTGCACGACGGACACAATAATCCGCTGTGGGCTGGTGTAACCAGGAGGTTCCTACCAGTAAAACGTGCAACAGCGCCACGAGAAATGTGCTGCGCTCCGGGCTCTGGAGACCACCTGGAGAAGATCCCAGGCACGTGTCGCCAATGATGGTGAACAAGTGGAGACTTTGACTTTATGAAGGTATTAACATTACATTTATTATCATGTTACAATATACGTAATCGTTCTTTTTCCATTTAAAACGATAGTCTCATGTAAGTGTTAACATGGTTTGAAGCAGCCTGTGTGATAGCCTCGGTGCGACTGTGCGAGAAGAATCGAATATTGGGGCCCCATGGCCGATTGCGGCCCTCCCTGAGCTGATGGTTCAAGATGATTTGATTTCACGGGGTGAGTCGGGGTGTTGGACGATGGTCACCAACAATGAATGACTTATCTAGCGACGCTCAAACACAGACAACAACTCAACGCGTTCCGCACGGCCTTCAAAGGGGACATACACACACATAGACATATATATACTTAACAGGCAACGTTCCTGGCAATGCCCCTTCAGAGCGCGTACGACAATGAAATAGGGTCACAGCGCGAAACGTCGCCTAAGCAACGGGACGCGTCCGAGAGGAGCTTCCGTCGAGAAGATGGAGCGCTGATGAGACGGGTGACGAGATGGGTGACGAGACGGGTGACGAGATGAGTGACGAGGTGAGTGACGAGACGGGTGACGAGGTGAGTGACGAGGTGGGTGACGAGATGGGTGACGAGGTGGGTGACGAGACGGGTGACGAGGTGGGTGACGAGGTGGGTGACGAGACGGGTGACGAGGTGAGTGACGAGGTGGGTGACGAGATGGTAAATGTTAGAAACATAGCCGGCATCAGCCACCATCAATCCACTGCTGGATGAAGGCCTCTTCAATCCGGCTGCTGCGTCTCTCTCAGCTCTGCGATGTCGCTCTCTGTTCGCGAATAGCGCCTCTGAAGAATGCCGTGGGGGGAGGGGGGGTGCAACACCACGCCCGGCTGCCTTTGTCTCCCCAGTGCTCATGTCTTAAACACCGCACAAGGTACTCGGGGAGACCCAGGACCGCTTCAAATAATCGCCACTGCCGTGAGCTGGAATTGAACTCAGGTGGCCGGGTTATGAGCGCAGTGCAGCGCCAAACACCCCCACTCCACGCGATCATACAGAGCAGCACTTATAGACTGTATGACATACAGCACTTATAGACTGTATGACATACAGTACTTATAGACTGTATGACATACCGTACTTATAGACTGTATGACATACAACACTTATAGACTGTATGACATACAGCACTTATAGACTGTATGACATACAGTACTTATAGACTGTATGACATACCGTACTTATAGACTGTATGACATACAACACTTATAGACTGTATGACATACAGCACTTATAGACTGTATGACATACAGTACTTATAGACTGTAGTGGCAAGCAAGGTCGACATGGTCTCCTCGCTCATAGTAGCTGTGGGGTGGAGCTCACCTCCCATTGGCTGCACTGGAACGAGCCTGGGAAATTCCACATTCCCATGGCGGGTGTCGGGTTTCCTTTACGGAACACCGCCGCCTTCTCACGGAGTTGACGGTGCCGAGTTTACCGGCCCCCAGGGGGATGATGGGACGCGCGGTCTCTGTCCGTGTGGGTAGCGACATGCGGTGACATCACGGTTATGAATAGCGTCGTGACGTGGGGGGGGCATTAGCTCATACAATGACAAAGAACCCCCGTATAGCATCAACTGGCTGTTAGGGCAAGTGCTGTTAGCGAGCACCTATGAAGACCGTCACGGCACGCGAGGGGGTGGGTGGCCAGCAACCGCGCCCAACCGCCTTTGTCTCCCTAGTGGCGATGTTTTACACTGCGCACCAGATACTCGTTTGAGGCTGAATCGACCTAGGGGGTTTAGATAATCGGGTTCGTAGCGCAGCGCGGTAACCACTACACTACCGCACACCACACAAACACACACATACACACACACACCACACACCCACACACCAGACACCAAGGCCGTAGCCATGGTGTCAACATTGGGGGGGGGGGCAAATCTTTCAGGGGGTCTGCCCCCCCCCCCCCCCGAAAAAAAGATAAATTTGAAAACTAATTTCCTGCCTAAAATAAAAAAAATCACTAACACATGGGATTAG